TTTTGGATGACAGCCATCCTAATGAATGTGCCTTCCAAAATTATTATGTTTGATTTTCACAGGTCTTCAATCTAGTTGGTATACATTTTTGTATATAGAATAAGGGAGGAATCTAATAATAGTTTTTCCACCATACAGAGAAACCCTTGTTTTGGCATCATTTAATCCACAGGCTTTGATTAGAAGCTTTCCCACTAATTTTTAACACCATTTCTATCACAAATCAAGTTCCCATATATGCATGAGTCTATTTCTGGGCTTTCTATTTCATTATAGTGATCTACCTATCTCCCTACCAGTATACCACTACTTGAGTCATACAGAATTTAAAAATATTTTTATATTTGCTACTGGAAGTTCCTTATTTTCTTTCTAAGAATTTCTTTGCTATTCTTGGATTATTTTCTCCTATATGAATTTTCAAATCAGTTTTCTAATTCCATGAAAATTGTGCATAATATTTTTACTGGAATTGCATTTATGATTAATTAGAAGGAATCAACATGTGATACTGATTCTTCATCCATGAAAATGGTATTATTTCTTCATTTATTCCAATCATGCTTTCCCATTGCTATGTTGTATTAATCCTTCCTATAAATCATGAGACCAAAAGCTGAAAAACAAATAATTAAAAGGACATTTCTACTCTAAAACTCATAATAGAAAACCACAAAAATGGTCATTAGTTATAGATACATATGATATCCATACACTATGTGGATTTGGGAGTTACAACCAGTAAAAGAGATCATATCCAACTCACGTAGTTATTTAAAAAATCTAACCACCTGAAATAATCCTTCATAATGTAGCTTATATCTCACCACTTTCAGAAAGCCTTCTCTAATTACTCACCTACAGTACTTTCCTCTGTTTCTGCATCTGGAAATTACTAAGGTCTGTATCAGAAAGATACAAGCTGGTAACTCATAGGCAACACAGGCCTGCATATGTGCTTAGTTTTGCCTACACCATGTTTATTTAAACAAGAACTGGAGACCAAAAAATTAGGGCATTTCACACAAAAATCACAGCATTTCTGATGTGTAGATTGTATGTCATTTTTTCAGGGACCGAGCTAAGAGAGGTTCTAGCTCCATGCTTCCTTACCAAGGCAGGCAAGTCACACACTGATTCTTAACGTTTCTGCCTGAAAGAGGCCTGTTTATTTCCAATTCACATTCCATTGGTCAAAGCAAAATCATGGTCAGGCTAACTTCAAAAATGATGGAAAAGTATAATCCTATTATGTGTCTAGAAGGTTAAAAATCAGAAATATTTCATATAATTGGGAACTTTGCCTTCAATCTCTTCCCTACTACCTGTTCTCCAAACTACTACAATTAATTTTTAAAACCAGAAATCAAATTATCTCACCGCTGCTAAAAAAAATCATGAAACTATAATGCCTATGAGGAGAAAAGTAAAAATCACTAAGAATGACATTTACTCTTTCATAATCTACTCCAAACTCATTTACCAGCTTCTTTTCCCATTATTTCCTCTCACATCACCTATTCTCCAGCCTTTCTGAATATGTCTTGGTATATATTTTAAAACTTAACTTAAACATCATCTCTTTAATTTAGTCTGATTTTCCTTTTCTTGGAAAAAAGTAAACCCTAAATCCACTATACTTAGAAGTCACATTGTTTATAATGAGCACTAATACTCATTCAAAGTAGTTAATATGTGCCAGGCACTTAAAACATAATTGCTGTGTGTCTAACAGAATGTACAGTCCCTAGGTTAAATAATGATGTTCTTGTTTACCTTGGTATTATAATCCCTTAGCACAAAACCCAATTCATAGAAACTCAAAATAGTTGCCTAACAAAATCAAATACAAAACAAGATAACAAATGCCACTGACTTCTTTAAGAATTTGTTTATCTATTTTTTAATGTATTTATTTATTTTGATATTGTTAATGTACAATTACATGAACATTATGGTTACTAGACTCCCCCTATTATCAAGTCCCCCCCACATACCCCATTACTGTCACTGTCCATCAGCGTAGTAAGATGCTATAGGAAATCGTTTATTCTTAAGGCTTACCTTGACTGTTTCTAAAGCTAAAATGAACTACAAGACTTAAACTAATACTGGTAAAGACTAGGCAGTATGCTTTGGCTAGGCCCATCTCTTGGGTTTTGTCTTCACTGCTTTTGGAAACAGTTTAGTTGCCAAGACCTAAATTGGAATAATTATAAAGACAATCAAGTAGCCAAATTACAGCAATAAATGCTTTTAATCCAATCATCTCACTCCTTTGAGCAATTTCAAGTTCATAAGCACTTTAGCAAAGTAAATTTAAAAGACCCATTTGAAATTTAAAGCAACTGATTAACGTATTTTAATAGTTCTAATAAAACATCTGTTTCTGCTTCAAACTATTGACAAGTTATAGTGTATGGGATTATGTACAGACTTAATTATTTTAGCCTATCAGTTTTCAAGTATTAACACTTAAAAATGTAGTATTAAAAAAAATAAAGCTTTGAATTGTTTTGTAGGTATGGACACCACAATAAAGAACTAGGAAAAAGTACTGTGATAAAGTTAATGGAAGAGAAAGTTTTAAGAAAGACATTGTGAACAGCGTGAAACACTGAAATCTAGTTAAAAAAGAACTAAAAGTAGGCCAATAGTCTTGGCAATATGAGCAATTCCAGGAGGGTAACAGAGGAGGAGGCCAGAATATAATTGCAAGAGTGTTAATGAAGGTAAGGAGGCAGAATATGTGTGTGTAAGTCGTTATGTCAGCAATCCTAGGAATAAATGGAAGAAAAATTTCAATGGCAGGATACAGTGAAGTTTTGCCACATTTTGGATACAAGATACTTAAACATCTTTATAAGCAGAGAAAGGGGTCAGTGGAGATAAGAAAGGATTCAAGAGAAATTCTGGAAAAGAGAAAGGTCACTTATATTTAGCTAAATTTAATAAGAGTCCTTAGAATGGATGGGGAACCCTGCTGTACTTCTATTCCCATGTTTTAAAAGGGCCATCTTCAAACTTACGGAGCAAGTTAACTACCCCTATTTATGAGGAAATTCTGCCTTTTCCATTAAGTGGTAAGATAACTAACATTTCCCACTGATTTTTGGAGGGATAAAACAACTTATGTCTCCTCTTCTCTTACTGGTTACTATGTATCTAATAGAAAAAGAAGCTATTATCAACCAAAAAATCTTTGACTTATTAAAAATAAACAATACATTTAACATTTTATTCCTGTGACATTTGTTGCAGAAATAACATTGTATTTGTCAAATCAGTCTAGAACAGGAGTTTTTAGAAAAAAATTGTAAGCATTAAGTATCTAGTATTTGATAAAGGAGGTATCACAGAAACAAGAACCCCACAAATTATTCCATTGAGAATTTGTCATAATTGGGAAAGTGAAGCACATACACATGAAATAGTAGGTACTCGAGCAACATATTTTTAAGTTCAAATAAGAATACAGACTGAGGCCACAAGGGCTGACTAAATTTTCAGAAACTGAGAAGAGGCTATTAAACCAACTTAGTTTTCCACTTAGTGCAAAGACTTGCACTGGTCATTGAGATATGATGTAGCTCAATTTGTGGTCAGTAAATAAAACCATTATTTCATGTCTAGCAATATCCCAGCATGGATATATAATTTATTGAATTGAATGCTTAAGGAATGTTATTCTGGTATTTAAATATGATACAACTTCCCTTAAGAATTCTACTAAGGCAACATCTTTACCTGTAATTTGCAGACCTCAGCTCACTTCTGATACTTTTATAGGCCTTAACATTGTAATTGCCAATTTTAGAATAAATTAGGGAAATTACAGAAGCTATCTAGCATTTTTTAAAACATGGAAGCAGCTTTGGCCTCTTAAGAGAATGGATTACACAGATGTCATAAAATGAAGAATCATGAACAGGCTGACACTAAAGGAACATGAGAAACACTCAACACTTACAAAAGTAAACAAAAATAACTGAAGTCTATACACAAGAATGCAATACAGAATCACAAATCAATTTCAACTTTGTAGAAGGAAAAGGTTTGTCAAAAACCATGGCAGACTTAATCAAGAAACTCTTGTAAAAGTGCCTCCACACTGAAACGTTTATTAAATCTCACACAAAACAGTTTCTTACACAAAATACAGACTATTTTAATGAAGGAAGACAAACTCATTGATAGTGATATGGAAATGAAGGAGAGCTGGTAATTAAAAGGGTTCTAAAGGTGAGTTATAAAAATATTCCCCAAACTTGCGAATACATAAAGTGATACATTACATAAAAGTCTAAGGAAAGGAACAGTCATCTCTTTTGTGACTGGAGGACTAGGAAAATAATCAGTGCAGAGCTCAAGAGAGGCAGAAATTTCTTCTTTAGCTGAAAAGAGAACACCCTCAGATAGAAATCTAGCTAGAAAATATTTGCCCAACAGCATGGAACAGGATAAATGGTAATACAAAACAACCGAAAACTCATTTAGTTTTAATAAGAATATAAAAGAAACCATGTAAAAAAACCTCTTTTTTTCATTAATTCACTCATGTATCATAATTACTAAAAGGCATTTATCAGTTTAAGACTATACATACAAACATTCTAAGGGTCAGTTTTCTGGATCTTGCCAAGAGTATGCCATGTTTACTTTTTCATGTGTCACATCTAAAGTCTACACTGGATGTAAACCCAGAAGTAAGATGATCAGTACTTTTTTTTACTAAGAGACAAGTTTGAAAATCTTATATCTCAAAACTTTAAATCGAAGTAAAGAGAAAATTCTGATCCCTAGGAGAAAATTATATTAAAATAGAAGATGTTCTCCACATGTTATTCAGGGTTGCAATTCAGCAACCAGTTTATAAGGTAAGCTGCTTACCATGAGGTTATCTGTGAATCAGTTTTCTTGGTAGTGATTTCTTTCTGTTGGGTTAACTAGAGAAAGGCTTGTAGTTTACACACAGAAATACTGAGAGTCCATATACTAACCTGGCCCAGTCCAGGCATACCTCCTCCAAGTCTAAGAAGTCTGTCCATATTTCTAGAAAACAGAAACAAAGGAAAACGTTCCTAAGCACCAAAGTGTTTACTCAATTGCTATCTATATAATTCACCTTCAGTCACTCAGTATGTCAAAAATATTGGTGGTAATTACAACACAACATCAGACTTCCTGTTAATTAACACCACATATTAATTCAAGAAGCTGTCTTCCATGCTAATTAACAGACCTTATTTTACTGCTTTGGTTTTGGGTTATCCCCGTTTTAAAGACAAGCAATCTTAGCATACTTTCAAAACTTTGCTATCATTAAGTTAATTATATTTTCTTATTGTTATCTAATAAAGTACCTGAATGAGGAAAGAGTGCCTGAGACGCTTATCATATGTATGATTGAATTTCCTTCAATTTGTCCAGAGTGTACAAATAAAAATCCTCACTTTTAAATTAAATTTTAACATCCTCATTAGTAAGTTCTGTGCTAATTAAGTTACAGCTTGTCAGTTACCATCAAAACTACATGTGAAAGACATTGTGAGCAGATTATGGATCTCTGAATTAGCATCAAAGGCTTTTAAAAAATGAACTCATTATACAAAAGAAATATTATAAACATTAAGTGCATTAAGATAGTGTTCTAGAACCTCACAAGTATTTTGTGTTATTTCAAGTGTTGTGGAGATATGTACCTCTTTCACTAAGGAATTTCAGCTGCTGTCTTAATTAAAATTCTAGAGTTATTTATACAAAGAGGATTAACTGAATTATTAATCTGATATTCTTTTTATGTCTGGAAATACTACAGAAAACATTCTTGTAAGCTTGAAAAAGTCACAGAAAAAATCAAAGAAATAGCAATGGTACTACTATGGCCTCAAATACACAAAAAGGAGTAATTAAATTATCAAAATTAATATCAGAACTAAATGAACATGACAATGAAGAATTTTTTCTACTTGAAAATGCTATTATGTCTTAAAATTCCTCTTCTTCCTAAGAGAATGCTTTAGAAAATGGTATTACAATTAATTTTCTAACTTAAACACAGCAGATTAACCTAGTCATTCGTCCAAGGTGTTTTACTGGTTAGAACTGTTATGCAAACTAAAACCCAATAATGAACTTCTGATCATTACACTACTGCCTGATCATGTGTATTGCATCCTGCAAACAATTTAATCATATGAATCTTTATGTTAATCTTGCAAACTCCACATATAGAAAAGTACACAAATGACGTAGCCATGGACTCTTCACAAAGTGAACACATCCCCATAACCACCACCTCGATGAGGAAACAGAGCATTACCTCCACTGAAGAACACGTCTCATGCCCCCTTCCCACTCCCCACTGTCCTGGAAAGGCAGAATTCCAACTTCTAACAGCATAGATTAGTTTTGCTGTTACTGAATTTTAAATAAACAAAATCACATACTTTTTGTGTCTAGCTTATTTCACTCAACAACTCTGTGAGATTCATAATAGATAAACTAATTTAAAAAAAATGAAAAGTCACATAAGAAAAGCTGGTAGTCTAGACAAAATTTCTGCTTTACAACCTTAACTCATCCTCCTAACAGCAACATTTACAGATAAAATCTCCATTAAATTCTCATTAAAATCCCTCCACTGAAATACGGCATTCAATACATTGTACTTTTTAAAGGCTACAGACAGGAAAAAAAAACAAACAAAGACCTGTATATCATAAATATTAAACACATTTCTCTAGAAGACATTACAAAGGAAAAAAAATTTCTTTTGGACCATTTCAAACTTGCAAATTTAAAGAACAAATAAAAATAAACAAACAAAAACTAACATGCAGTTTACTTTAGACATTATGTATATACTCTAGGCCAAAGTCAATTCCCAGATGTGTTCAGTTTATCTCCTCCCCCTGTGTTGTTTCTGATAACTTACACAGACTCCAGATGCTATGAATATATATGAAAACATGGGAAGCAGAGGGAAAGAAAATCTGGCAGGTCAAATTTGTGTTTTTAGCAAAATTAGATGTCTCAGCAAACAGGGAAAAATGTTTAACGAACTAAAACATCTAAGGTAAGCTAATGAGATTTACTAAAAATATTAACATTTGGAAATGGAATATATTGATAAATGTTCTAAATCACACTAGTTTTTTTTTAAGTGTATAGAAAGCAGACAGAAAAAATGCTAGTTATATAAATGACTTCATAAGCCCTTAAATCTGGTTATCTATCACACTTTTATAATTTGATATATATTAGAAATGATACATTTCATAATATCTTTATATCATATCCTGAAAGAATAGGTAAAGGTAAAATACATTCATAATTCTCACCTGGTCAGTAACTACAATTCTTGTGGTGTTAAGCTTCAGTTTGCTGAGTTCGACAAATTTCTTAAGTTATGCTCTTGCTAATACTGGCAGGTGTAATTTTTCCCAAGTATTTTTTTCTCTCTTTCCTAAAAAAATAAAATACAATATTATTAATTTGAGAACTAAGGAAGAAAATATGTCAACAGCTTTAAAAGAAGCAAAATTCCCAAAAATGAAATAGAAAGCAAAACTGATTTTTAATCACCATTCCTAGAGAATATAGAATGAAATACCATCCTGGGGAGTTATATACAGCATAGTGATTAACCATGTATCCAAATTTGTTTAAATTTCTCTTTTGAGCAGTTCTAATTATATGTAAAGATTGACTTGCATGACTTTTACTCTTTCTAGAGGTATTTCAAAGAACAAAGAAAAAACTGACTATTTTCAAATAAAACAAAATTCATTCTACTAAGTAATTACCATATAGGTCCATTGTACGTTATTACAAATCTATGCCATATTATGGAATCTTAGTGATGTCATTTTTTCCTGTATCTTGAAAGTTTGCTATTTCATAACCTAGGAATTAATTCATCATTTCTTAATCAATTATCCCCAATGATGCCAAAAGAGACTAAAGTAACAAGAAACTAGAAGAATGATACAAATTGTCCAAAATGGTGCAATAGTGAAATACACTACAGCTACTGCATTATCCTTCAGTATTTATTCTGCTGCCCAAAGCATTGCTTCATCTTTCAGAGAGGTATAAAATCTCTGAAGGCATTACCTTTGTAGTCTTTTTTAACTTTCACTGAACACAGCTGACAATTCATAATTTTTCATATTCTACCCATAATGACAGAACTGACAGAAGAAACAAGTTTCACAATTATTAGAGAATCACATGGGAAATGTAAAGGAACAAGTACCAGCACTCTAGTCGTTAATGATGACGATATAATTGATGTTTTGTGTAAGCCAGGATTTCTCTGGCATTACTGGCATTCAGAACCAAGTAATTTTTTGTTACTGGGGGCTGTCTTGTGCATTAGAGTTAGGGTTTTTAGAAGCATCCCTAGCCTCCACCAACTAAATGCCAGTAGCACCTACCCAGTTACGATAATCAAAAATGTGTCCAGACATTTGCCAGACGTCTATCTCCTGGAAGGGCAAAGTGATTCCCAGTTGAAAACCACTTACATAAAGGAACTGACTTTGCAACTTCAGATAATAGTATCCTAGATTGATTTTCTCAAATTTAAAAACAAATGAAAGCTGGAAACAGTTTGGGACCTCTTCAAGAAGTTCAACACAGAACTACCAAAAGGCCCAGCAATTTCATTCCCAAGTATGTATCCAAAAGAACTGAAAACAGGTCTTCAAAACAAGTACACCTGACCCTTGAACATCATGAGCGTCAGAGGCACCAACCCCCTGCACAGTTCAAAATCCACATATAACTTCTTCGGGGGAGCTGACTCCCCCAAAACTTAATCGCCTATATACTGATGGTTGCCGAGGGCTGGAGTAAAATGGAGAAACTGCTTAATGACTAAGATTTTACTTCAGAATGATGGACATGTCTTTGAACTAGGTAGAGTGATTAACAGCACAACACTGTGAATGTACTAAATGACACTGAATTATTCACTTTAAGACAGGTGATTCCATGTTACATGAATTTGCCCTCAATATGTTTTTTTAAAAGGATCAATGAGTAAAACAATATATTTCCAAGACCAAAAAAGAATTCCATCCATTTAGGTATTCAACAAGGACTTTTATTCTTTTACAAGAACCTGTTTTGCTAAAGAGATATGTGACATATTCTATTAGCTTTTATGATGTTGACACAGTTTATATGTGGACAAATGCTGAAGTGTACACAAAGGTAAACGAAGGAAATAAATAATGTAGAAATTTAAAAAAATCATTGGATTAAGTCTAATTGGTATTTATAAATCTAAAAATAAAAACGTTCTGTGAACAAAGATAATAACCTTTCTCTCTTTAACAAAATTACGACCTGTCAATGTTTTCAAAAGTATTGCACTGGGAAGATGAAAAAGTTCTGGAGAAGGATGGTGGTGATGGCTGCACAACAATGTGAATATACTTAATACCACTGAACTGTACATCCAAAAATGGTTAAAATGGTTAATTTTATGTCATTCATATTTCAAGACACATATAAAGTTTTGCAAGTGCAAGAACCAGAAGAAATAATTATTTCTGTTAGAGGCATATTTAAAACGTGAAGCTGATCTGTAAGGTGGATAGTTGCACTTCATGCATGATGAGCAATTACATTCAAAGGATGTTGTCCATTTTGAGAACAGATACCTTCAAAACCAGGAAAAGACAGAATTAAAAACTGCCCTTGCTATGTTTATAACATTTCTAATGTAGTTGTTTTTTAGTATCCCTGTATTGTTCCTTCTGTAAACTATTCATAAAATGAATGAAAGGCATAAGAATTTTAAAAAGGTCCACTGGACCCAGACAGTAAATGGTAATGACTATTTTTCTTGGTATATGAGGGTTATGAGCTATGACTCTGCAGTCCAAGTGCCAGGATTCAAATCCTGGCTCTAATATTTATTAGTTCTGTGTATGTAAGTCAGTTACCTCTCTCAGCCTCAGTTTCCTCATCTACAAAATGGGGATGAAGATAGCCTCCATCACACAGAGTTATTTAGAAGATGAAAGAAGACACAGGACCTAAGCAGCACTGAACACAGTGTGTGGCATACCGGTAGGAAACAACGAATGCTAGCTGCTGTCATCAGCACCACTATCCATGAACAGAGCTACAGTTCACCCCACACAGTTTTCCCCGTTTGCCACTTAGTGACTTTCAAAACAACTGGTATATTTCACAGCATTAAATGAATCACACTGGAGGGGAAGGACTTGCACTTTGCAGAATTTAACAAAGGAATTCATAAAATTTAAGTGGTATGCTATAACATAAAAAGACTACTACCAATTCTCAGAAATAAAAGTTAATACAAAAGGTCTATAGATCTAAACCAAATTTTTACACCTATCAAAAAGCAGAGGACTCAAGAGCTCATTCATATGATTAACTTTACTTAAAACATTATCAGATATGAATAATGTATTTCACTATACCTAATATGTCCTACATACAGTAATGTTTAGAATCCTTTTGGTAAAAACAGTACAAAATAAGTATCATTATGTTCAAATGTTTGGTTTTCCACTTTATTTACCAACTGAATTAACATCTGCTTAGAACCTGATATAGTTAGATTGTGTTCCCATTGGAATTTGAATTCAATTTTGAAATATTTACAAGAAATGGATGGAACCATGAATAACTCTAAAAACAGATCCCTCAATATTTTAATCTGAATTTGGAATGTGACAATTTTTTTTTCTTTTCAACCTTTTCACAAGGTACACTGGCTTCCCAGTAATTCATAAAATTCGAACAAAATCATGAAGCCCTTAGCTGTTCAGGTTTATCATTCCATTTCTTAGTTCATTTTTCATTTTTTACTCCTTAAATCATACTGCAGTTAAAAAACCATTACTTCTCAGACTGATGTTAATTTTTTTAAATGACTCCATGTTTGTGATGAGTTTCTAATTCCTATACTCTCTAATTTGTGGAAATTAGTAACTTATTTCACTTTCTTACAGGCTTTCTTCAGTGGAAGAAACAGACTCAACATTAAACTTAATTACATAAATAGGATTTTGAAGGATTTTCCCCAGTTTAGAACAGTGAGGATGGAACTATAGTATCTTCTTGTGCTGTCTCCTAATTACAGCATTCAAGTAAAACATTTATTAAATGTAGGTTTTCCCCGCTATCCAACTGCAGAGCGTTCCTATGAAAACTTTTCAGAAGCAGAAATGGCATGAAGTGAAGAGCAATTACCATCTCATAAAAGCAAAAATGCTCTTTGGATTTCTTTCTGTTAGGAAAACAGGTACTAATGTAGTTCTTTCATAAAAGTGAAGTGGCATAAACTCAACCTTTGGGTAGGGGGGGAAACCTGTACTACCTTGTATACAAGGTGGTACAGAAATACAGCCACAAAGACACTTAGTGACTTTCACTGAAAGAATTTACAATTATCTGGGGAGGCATTATATAAACCCATGAAAAATACACAAGTGAAAGGATAGCAAGGTAGAGCTGCAAAGTCTCTGGAGGGAATCAGACCTATATTTGAATCCTGGCTCACCACCTACTCTCTGTATGATCCGGAACAAGTCACCCTCAAGACTCTAGGCCTGATCTATAAAATGGGGGTAATACCCAGTTTGCAAGTCTGTTGTTAAAAAAAATACACAGCACCTAATACAGTGCCTGGAATATATAGGTACTCAGTAACTGTTGTTATCATTATTATCTTAGAACCAGAGATTATTTAATCCAATTCTCATTTTACACATGAGGACACCAAAGTATCGTAAAGCAGAATATAAATGTCAAATGAGTGCAACAAACTGGGTATATGACAAGTTCATGAGTAATAAATTACGTAAGTATTCCGGTAAGGCTTTCACAGGCGGACACTGAATTACGGTATGAACATTTCTACACAACTGAAAACAAAAGCACAACTGCTTCTTCTTACTGATTTTCAAACATGGGTACTGAACTTGGATACTAAACACAAGGTTCACAAGTATAAAAATAGGATAAACCCATGTCAAAGCGGTTAAAATGCAGCTTTTAAATGAGAAGAGCAATGTATTATTTACCAAGAACCTTGGGGGTAAAAAAATCTCCCAAACTCAACAGGTGAGGCTTCACTGAAAGATCACGGCTTCGAAACTTTATTTTGTTGGATGGATGTGATTTGGTTCTGAGACAAATTCAAGACAATACTCAGATTTTAACTAACTTTCATTTCACTAAAACACATCTTTACTGCAGTGAATTCTATGACACTAACTTTTCTCTTTAAATGCACAATAACCCACGTAAATTTGTTTAAACCATACAATTTAAACTTTAAATGAACCAGCTGCTAGCCTTACATGACAAGAAGGCCACCATTATTTTAATTATCTCCATCAAAATTTTATTCAGTTATTTTTTGTTATTTCAGCATTACCAGTGGCTGTCTTTGGCTTTACTCATAAACATTGTCAGTGCCACTAAAAACATGCTTTTGCGAGCAAGGGAAAAAAATCATTTTCACCTTAGAACTGCATTTCTATGCTAATTTCTAAAGCCTCTTCCTTTCCTTTCCCATGAAATCCTTCATCAACTTTTGGTTACCATTTTAACTTCAGTAAGTTTTCATTTGGTCACTATATTTACATTCAAACTCTTGCCACAAATTTATATTTTTCTTCTCTTGACAGACAAAGTAACATCCCAGAGGAAAAGTTAGGTTCCCAAGAGGAACAGAGACTAGCAAATTTCTACTGTAATTAAAAGAGGAATATAATCAACTCGTCAAAAACTATTCAATCAGGACAAACTAAAAGTAAGTTAAACCGCAGAGCAGAAATAACCACAGTTTGTTTTGAAGACACTCAAGGTTATAAACCAGACTGCATCTCTGCATTGCTGTCTGCTTTTTGAAAGGAGTTGAACACCTAACCGTAAGAAAAGTCAAGGCCTATGAAAAGGGCAAGTAATAAAGCAAACATGCATTAAACAGGAAATTTCACTTTGAACTCACGTTTCCTCTGTCTGCTTTAAAGTGCTACCAGTGCAGAAGTGACTATCAGTACAGCGCAGACAAGTACAGGCCATGAACAGGGCTTGTCCCGGTCCCCAGGCAGGGCGAAGTCAGGGGAGCAGAAACATCTGGAGGAAGGCAACATCCAGACCCAAGGCAGCCACAGCCCCCGGCGGCCCGCGAGCAGGACCAAGGCGCCTGGGCTCCTCCCTCGGGCCCGGCCTCCGGTGGCGACTCGGCTGGGCAACGTGACTCAGGAAAGCACGGCGCTGGCAGCGGCCTACGCGGCTGCGCTCGCGGAGCTCCGGGGCCTGCCGGCGCCGTCTTACCTGAAGGCGGGAGGGCGCAGAAGGCCGCGGTCTGGACCCGGTCTTCCTGCTAGGGTGGCGCGGAGGCGGCTGCGGCTGCGGGTCAGACTCGCCCGGCGCTGGCTCCGCGAACCGGCGATGAATCAGCCCGATTCCATTCAAAAGAGTTGCCCGGGCCTCCGCCGCGAAGCACTTCCGGGTTCACCGCCGTGCCTCGGCTTCCGTTCCCCCGACGGCCAATCGGAGACGACTCGGGAGCCGGGCGAGCGTCCCGGGAGGATGCCCCGGACAGACGGAGCGGGCCGCCCGCCTCGCCGGACCAGGCTGGGATCCCCGGGCGGAAGTGAGCGCAGGGCCCGCTCCCGCTCCAGCGACAGCCTCCTTTCTCTCCCCCCACGACTCTCTCCCACCTCTGCGCGCTCGGGCGGCAGCCGAGACCTGGGACGCCGGCCTGCCCGGTCCGGGGAGGCGACTCGCTAGCAGAGAGACTGCCCGCTTGCACAGACCAGAAACCCCTTTCGTTTTAGTGTGCACCGCGGCCCTACACAAAACTAAAAGGATCTATTTTATATTTGCACATCTATATTTGCAAAAGACAAAGGGTAGGGGTGTGAAAAAGGCGGGAATCAGTCAGATTCCCTTTTCCACCGATAGTCTTACCTACCTTTTACCGCTTTGCAAGGATTGAATTTCAAGGAACACCAACATTTCCCAAATGTTAAAACTACCTGTTTTAAGCTCTATTTAATTCAGAGTTTAACAAATCATGTACTCATGTTACTCTTTGTAGTTAGCCTCAACAAAGTTTTACCCATATCTGCCCTGTGTTAGGTTTGCAGAGAGCATAGCCACCCAAGAAAAGAGTATTGACCAGTTTGTATGACACTTAGGTACAGGCTCTGTTTAAGACAGCATGTTTACCAAGACCGGTTCACTTTCCAAATATGTTCCAAATAACAAGCATCTTTAAAGCATCCCTAAATCAAGAATGGTGATGAATCAACTAGATGAAGGGGAAGGTGGGACTACAGCATTCGAATCCAAAGCTATTCGAATGGCACAATTACACAATTTAACTCTCAAAGAGACTCCATTTCTATCTAAAAAATACATAGACAATTTTAATCATAGGTAATTTTAATTATATTTGGATCCATTTCTGTGCCTCCACTATTTACTTTTTTGGTGCATGACCCCATTGTCCAAATACTTAACCTATCCAGACCTGACATAGACACTTTCTCTTCCTCACCTGTTTCTACTGGCCTCCCAATTAATCACCCTAGAAATCATGAAGCGTCTAATCTGTACAATGGCTTTACCAATCTACTACTCCCCTTTCTCCATTCTTTCTACTAAAACCTTAACTCAAACCTTCATCATTGTTTTTCCTAGAATACAGCAATAATCTTGATCTCCATGCCTTCAGTTTGTGCCCCTTCAATGCATGTGCCACACTTCATTGGCAAAGATTTCTTTCTGCTATACAAATACCGTCATGCCTCTTCCTCACATTAAATTTCACCAATAGCTCCCCATAGCATTCAAAAGGTCAAAAATCCCTCAGCTTTGGAGCACCCTTGTTCCAGCCCTGCTGAAGAATGAGATCTCCATAGGGACTCTGAAAGGCTCTGACATATTCCTGGGAATCTAAAAGGTAATATGCATGACTAGGATTGTGTGCATGCCTAGGGCTGTGTGAATGCTCAGGAAACACTTGAAAAGGCCCTAAGCTCTCACCTTTGGCTGCCCTTGAGGCTCTATACAAGCAAGAAGTGAAGACAAAGGTAGAGTTGTAAACTCCCTGACTGAGTGTTGAAGGTGTGTCCCAACACACATGCTAAACCCCTTGGCACAGACCTGCAGACTTATTAGCTGAAGATGTTTAAAGAACTCTCTGTCCAGTCATCAGATGACCACTGAACTAACTGAGCAAAGACTTCAGTGGTCACACAACAAAGAATACAGACCTTAGGGAATGAATTCAGAAAAGTCATTAAACCAACAACTACTAAAACAAATGGAAACAATAAATACCCCTGGGAGGGTATAGAATCTGATTTTCACAGTTGCCACATTGTATTATTTGAAACATGTAGTTTTCAAAATGAAAAAAAGAATGATACATGCAAAGAAGCAAGAACATATGGCCCATACACAATAGAAAAAGCAGTCAGTGGAAACTACCCCTGAGGAAGTCCATATATTGGACTTATGACATAAAGACTTTAAATATGATATATTAAATGTGTTCAGAAAGCTAACAGAAGCCATTTCTAAAGAACTAGAGTAAAGTGAGAGAAGAATGTTTTGCCCAAATAGAAAAGATCTCTAAAGAGATACAAAGTAATTTTTTAAGCAAATACAAATTCTGGAGTTGAATAATAATTGAAGTGAAAAATTCATTAGAGGGGCTCAACAGCAGATTTGAGCAGGTGGAAGAAAGAGTCAGCAAATCTGAATATAGGTAGTTGAAATTAGCCAGTAAGGGGAACAATAGAAAAGAAAATAAAGAAACATGAACAGACACTCAGAGTATGTGGGATACAATCAAGCATACCAACATAGTCCTAGACAGCGAGGAGAAAGAGAAAAAGGCAGAAAGAATATTTGAAGAAATAATGGTCAAAAACTTCCCAAATTTGATGAAATACATAAATCTACACATCCAAGAAGCTAAGTGAACTTCCAAGTGGGATAAACTCAAAGAAATCCACAGCTGGAGACATAATCAACCTGTTGAATGCCAAAGGCAAAGAGAGAGTCTTGACTTTGCATCAAAGTATCAAGGGAGAAAACTCCTCAATAAAATATACAGCCCAAACTATGGAAGCAGAAAGCAGTGGGATGATGTATTCAAAATGCTGAAAGAAAAGACTGCCAATTAAGAATTCTATATCCAGGAAAGTTATACTTCGAAAATGAAGGAGAAATTAATACAGTCCCAAAAATGTATATATAAACAAAAATAGAATTTGTCATGTCATTAGGAAACTTTCCCTTTAGGAAATACCACAGTACTCAGGCTGAAATGAAAGGACACTAGACAATAACTCAAATCCACATGAAAGAATACAGGATTCTTGTAAAGGTAACTACATGAGTAAATATAAAAGTCATTATAAATATAATTATTGTTTGGAAATCATTTTTTTCTGTTATTTGATTTAAAAGACAACTGCATAGAGTAATAATTATAAACCTGCATTCATGGGCTTATTGTGGTAAAGTATGTAATTTGCATCACAATAACAGCACAAAGCAATGGGGGGAATGAAGCTATATTGCAGTAAAGTTTCTATATACTATTGAAATTAAGCCAGTATTAATCTGAACCATATTGTTATAACTTGGTAACTATAATCTGAGAGCAACCACCATGAAAATACTAAAAAATATATATAATAAATGAAGAAAGAATTATAATGGCAAACTAAAGAATGTGTAATTAGGAGAAAAAGCAGAAATAATGAAGGAACAGAAGAACAAAAAAGATGTGCAACATTTAGAAAATAGAAAATGCCAAGTGTAAAATACTATTTTACCAGAAATTACATGGAATGTTAGTGGAGTAAACATTCTATTTCAAAGACAAAGGATAGTATAATCTTTAAGAAAAATAAAAGATCCAGTTATATGCAGTCCATAAGATACAGACTTCAGATTCAAAGACATGAATATGTTGAAACTAAAATGATAGAATAAAACATATACCATGCATATAGTGTAACTAAAATGGTACAACCACTTTGGGCATTGCTATGCCATTTTTAATTAAGTTAAAAATACAATTACTATTTGACCTAGCAACTCCACTTTATGTATTTACCAAAAATAAATTTTAAAAAAATTTCACACCAAGACTGGAACATGTTTGTTCATAGCAGTTTTATTAATAGCCCCAAACTGGAAATAATCCAAACGTTTTCCAACTGGTAAGTGGACAAAGTATGTTACATCCTTACAGTGCAATAATACTCATCAATAACAAGGCAACTACTGATATATGCAGCAACATGGATGACTTTCAAAAACATCACTCTGAGTAAAAGAAGTGAGATGAAAGAGTATATAGTATATAATACCATTTTAATGAAACTCTAAACAAATAAAATCAAATATATAGTGACAGAGTTGATCAATACTTAACTTGGGGATTCTAAGTGGAGTTAGGTGGGAGAAGTGACTGCATGGGGTGTGAAAGAACTTTTTGGGTTGCTGGAAATAGTCTATATTTTTATTGTGGTGGTGGTAAAACTCATCGTATTGTACACTATTTAGGTACATTTTATTGTGTATAATTTATACTGCCATAAACTTGACTGAAAATAAGATAAAAAATCCTCAAGTTTGTTAGTTTATCCCTTTCCTTAGTCATACCAAAGTATCTGTAATTAAAGCATGTTGTTTTATGCCTCTGAATCTTTAACCCTATTGTTTCCTCTGTCGGAAATGTCTTTCCTCACATCTCCTATCCCCACATTCCACCCCACTCTTTTGGAGAGTGATCAGTTAGTACTAATCATGTATCTTACCCTACAATCCCTATTCTATAATTCTTGTTTTACTTATCTGCCTTTCCATCTAAACTTTAAGCTTGAGAGTAGAGAGCAGTACCTACTCATAGTAGGTACTAGAAATTGTTGTTGAATATTGGAGCAATACGTGTGTAAGTACTTTGCTTGCTAAGAACACTCAAAAGGATCAGATTCATTTAAAATCTATATACAGCCCCTCTTGAACTAATCATTTCTTTAAAAATAAATAAATGGCCACATAATCTGATATGAATATTATATGCTGACACTTAAAAGCATTCATTGTTTGGGTTAGTCTCAATGTGGCTGTAGAGAACACTATAAAAGCACAGAATTGTAAAATGTTTGATATGTTTCCCCAAATCATAAGTTGCCAAAAGTC